GATCTAAGAGTAACACAATTTAATTTTTTTTTTTTTTTCTGGTACTGGGAATCAAACTCACGACCTCATGCTTGCCAGGCAGGCACTGTGCTGCTGAGCTAAATCCTCAGCCCCAATTTTTTCTTTTTTATGCTGGAACTTGAATCCAGAGCTTAGTACACGATAGGCAAACACTCTATCACCTAGCTACACACCCAGCCTGAATTCTTACTCAAATTTTCAAATTCTTTGTTCCTTCACTTTATAAATTTGAAGATTTGAAAACATAAGAAAGTAAAATTTTATTCTTCCTCTTACAATAAAGGCCACTGTACAGTGCATAAAAAAGGTTTCAAGATAATTGTTTATGCTTATGCATTATTTTCATCCAGTTCTTAAACATCTACATTTTGAAGGAAAAATATTCCCTTTCATTAAATGGAGTTTAATGTTTACGTCTCTTTGCTGCAGTGTTGATTTTTCTTTTGTATATTTTTATTCTTTAGGGCTTGAGTAGACATCTTTTTAGGTCTATTTTAAGTTATGTACTAGTATAAAAATAGAGTAAGATGAATTGTTTTGTGGCTAATAAATTCAACATTCTGTTTACAGACAGATAGTTATAAAATTACTGATATATTCTAGCAGAAGCAGTAAAGGTTATGTCAAGTAACTACTAAAAAATCATACTACGTGGCGTTAATGATGTTACCTTAACATACCAGCTTCAGGGGCTGCATAATTGTTTCTGCCAACCCATAAATTTTTGAGTAACAACAAAATTATTGTGATTTTTCTTACTAAATAATTCATACATTACAAAGCATGTATATAACAAGGCCCATGAATCACTAAAGCATATAATGATCATATATCTAATGACATATCTCTTTTCATAAGATGAATTCAAACAGATTTATGTATTTAGGTTAACTAAAAAATACTGAGTTTATAAGGGTCATAATTCTATCAACAGTAACAACAAAAAAACTTCAAACCTTTAAGAAGTACAATTTCTGTGATTCACTTTTAAAAATGGAAAGCTTTTGTTTATCAAAATCCTTGTGTTTAAGCTACTTTTCATGAAGTTTTACAGCTTTTAAATTGATACTATAAATATCACTGAAGATAAATTAATAATATAATGGAATAGTACAATGTTCATAAACTGTATTTAAAATGATATAAGTGCAACTAAAATAGCTATAAGCAATACTATATAAAACCTCATACTAGTAGTAACTGATATTCTTTATCCAGCAACTAGGATCTAAGAAAGGATATTTTCATTTACTAACACTTCACATGTTTTACTCTGGTATCATTTTATATCATCTCAAACCAAATATATCATTTTCTTAATGCTACTAGAAATGATATCAAATGAGATTTTATCTACTTAATTAAAACTAGGTTTCATAACTAAAATTTTTAAATTTTGAAGACTGCAACATACAAAATAATGTTTTAACTATGTGTACTGGTTTCTAACTCAGTTTATTTTTAAAAATTTTTTGGTACTGGGGACCAAACCCAGGACCTCATGTATGCTAGGTAAGTGCTCTACCACTAAGCTATATGCCCAGCCCCTAAACTCTACGTATTTGTTATGGGAATCATGCAGTTAACTCTATTTTATTATAGTTGATTCTTTTACTAGTTTTTAAAAGTTATTATGGTGCTACTGGGGGTTGAGTCCAGGGTCTCATATGGTAGTCAAGCACTTAACCACTAAACTACATCCCTTGCTCTTCTTTATTTTCAGGATCTCGCTAAATTGCCTAGGCTGGTTTTGAACTTGTGATTGTCCTGCCTCAGCCTCTTGAGTAGCTGAGTTTATAGGCATGTGCCACTGTGCCCAGCTTAACATTTGTGGTGAAATACATGTACTTACCATCTTAACTATTTTTAAGTGTACAGTTCAGTAGTATTAAGTACATTCACATTATTATGCAACCCTCAACACCATCCATCTGCAGAATGTTTTTCACCTTTCAAAACTAAAATTGTACTGATTAAACACTAGTTGTGCATTCCCTTTTGTCCCATATATTTTAACAACTTTATGGGGCTATAGTTCATATGCTATATGGTTCTTTCATTTAAAGTGTACAACTCAATGGTTTGAGAATAGTCATGGAATTTTTGCTACTATCACAATCAGTTTCTTAATTTTTTTTTTTTTTTTTTTTTTTTGGTACTGGCAATCAAACTCATGATGTCAAGCTTGCCAGGAAGGCACTGTGCTGCTGAGCTGTGTCCCCAGCCCCATTTCACCTGCCTGGAAAGCACAAGGTACTCAGTTTGATTCCTGGTACCTAAATACATACATACATACATACATACATGGTTTCATTACCCCTAAAGAAATCTGTCACCCATAAGCAGTCACTCACCCCTTTCTTCTCAACTTGGCAACCACTCACCTGCTTCTCTCTCTAGATTGATTTGCCTATTCTGGACATTTCATATACTGTGAATGTAATCATATAATAGGTAGTCTTTTATGATTGGCTTCTTTTTAGTGTTTTCAAGTTTTGCATCAATGCTCTATCATGCAGGGCCGGGGTAGCTCAGTGGCATAAGTGCCTGCCTGGCAAGTGCAGGGTCCTGAGTTCAATTCCCGGTACTGCCCCCCACCACCCAAAAAAAACTATCATGTGTCAGTACAACATTCCTTTTATTTATTTTGGCTGATTAATATTCCATGGTGTGACTGGAACATCTTATCTGTTCATAAGTTAATGAATATTTGGGTCATTTCCACCTTTTTGCTAGTATGAATAATACTGATATCAATATTCACATATGAGCTTTTACATGGACATAGTTTCAGTTCTCTAGGGTATACAGGTAGGAGTAGACATGGTAGCTGTTATGGTAACTCCTTGTTTAACGTTGTGAGAAGTTGCTAAACTTTCCCAAAGTAACTACACCCATTTTACCTTTCCACTAGCAATGTACAAAAGGTCTAATTTCTCTACATCCTTATGTACACTTTTTGGTTGTAGTCACCCTAGTGACTATGAACTGGTATCTCACTGTAAGTTTGATTTTTTCCTTTCCCTAATGTTGAGTGATAAATATATTTTCAAGTGTTACTACTTGTATGTCTTCTTGAAGAAATGTCTTTTCAAAGCCATTTTCAATTGGGTTGTTGAGTTTGTGTAAAACTTCTTTATATATGCTAGATATAATTCCCTTGCCAGATATATTTTTTAATTTTTCTCTTCCATTTTGCAGGTTACCTTTTCATGTCCCTCATCACATTCTTCAAAGCACAGAAACTTTTTGATGTTCAACTTATCTGTATTTTCTTTCCTCATTTGGACTTTACTTTTACCGTTTCCTAAAATATGAAAATGTTGTAGGGTTTATGTGGAATCAGTTTATTTATGAAAAAACTAATGGAATATTTGGAAATAAACAGCAAAAAATCCTAGATTTATTTTATTCCAGTTGTATTAGTACTCTCATTAGCAGGACAGAACTCTGCGTAGTTGGATGGCTAAATATGTTTTAGGGGTTTACCTATGTCTTTATTAAAAGGAAAAAAATCGACACCTGAGCTCCAATTTATGTTGGGAAAATAATCTGTAGACTGTGGTCCCTACTAGTAACACTTTTTATTGTCGGGAGAGCTCTCATGAAACATTTTTGGAGCACATAAAATAGTATGCAAGTGAAATGTCGCAATTAAGATTTGTGTTCTATCGATTGTGCAGCTTAAGTAATTTTTCATTACTAACATAAGATTTAATAAATATAAGTAGTTAAAGATTCTGACTTGGCACTAGTCATTAGCATGTAATTGAACTAGTAAAAAAGATCAGTTAAGGCTGTGTTGATTACCACCTTATCTTTGAAAGGCAATTAAAGACCTCAATCATTGCAACAAGATTTGATTGTGCAGCCTTTATTGGACATTGATCTTTCAGCAAAGTGCAGTTACATTTTCCATTAATTTACAGTAACACAGTTTAACTCTGATACCCTACACTGTTGACCCAGGTGAGATGTAATGCTAAGTACTTGTTTAGGTTAAGATACTCCCAAACATCATTACTCTCTCAATGCTAAGTGCTGAAAAAAAAGGAGACACCTGATCTGCTAGCTTTAGGATAAGGTTTCTGTTATCTGCATTTGCTTTTAAGTGAAGTGAAATCAAGATCCTTACCTTTTATGCCATCCCAAGCATTCAGACATCTTTCATTCTTCAGTAGATGGAAAAAATATCTCATCAAAAATTATATGCTGTACTTGTGGTTTTGGGTGAACAGAAATGGAAATAACATGAAACAAAATATACTTAAAATAGATATGGCTTTTAATAACTAAACATGTTTTAATTTTTACTGAAGTAAACACTTAGTAAAACATTAGTGGTCAAATATGTGTAATAAAAGAAATTTTAACTATTTGTACAATTTGGTATTTTAGGACATCAACATTGAAAAACCAGGGCTTTTTACATATGCAGCCACTTTCATTCTCCTAATTGTTACTGTGTCTTTATAGTGGTTTATAACCTACAGACAAGCTAGGAATTTTCTCCCAATACTTGATAATTGATTTGAATAGAAATAAGAAAGGAGATGCAATGTTTTGTACTAAAGACACATCTTTCAGGCATTTGGGAGGCTGAGGTAGGAGGATCACTGCGAGTTTGAGGTCAGCCTGGGCTACAAAATGAGTTTAAGGCCAGCCTGAACTGCACAGTGAGAGAGACTGTCTCAAAAAGACAAAAAAAAAAAAAGAAAAAAATTTTGTTTGGATTATTTTAAAGACAAAGAGCCCATTAAAGTGTAAGAAGCAATGTGAATTAGTGGTTTCACTAACCAAGAAACTTCAGATATCCAGAAAGGAGGGCTCACGCAGGTCCCTCTTTGCCACCTTAGGTCACTAGGCATTGGCACAGATGCACACCAACTGTCTTCACCATGTCTCCCTCTTGCTGCATTTCTGAAATTCTTTTTGTGATGAAGTCCTTTATCAATACAAATACAAGGAACATAGGAATGTGGATTTCAAATATAGATCTTTTACTAAAATAAAACACTTGCGCTTACAAGCATAACCATGATACATTTTAAGGTAGAAAGGTGTCTTGTTCTGTTCTCAGGTTACAAGTGGAAAAACCAAGACACAGAAGAATTAGCCATAGGTCAAAAAGATAGCAGACACTTAAAAGAGACTCAGCCTCCTGGATCCCAGCATTCATACTCTATCCCTTTTACAGCACAACGCTTCTATGTAACATGCAACTTTATTTTTTTTATTTTTTAAATTTTTTTTATTTTTTGGTTTTTCTCCGGTACCGGGAACCGAACTCACGACCTTGCGCTTGCCAGGCAGGCGCTTAACATACAACTTTAAAGACGCAATCTAAACCTTTACTGCTCATCGGGAGGCAATTTTCATACTAAAACGTTCACTACAAGACTTAATAAATCCAGTGAATGATATTTTAATTTTTGAACTATGCCCTTAACCATCGTTCAGTTCATCCTTCACCATGATCAACTCCATAAGAGCAAGAGGTCTATTGATTTTCATGTAATACAAGAAAATATTACATTTGCTTAATTGTTACACAGTGAGCACAGCAGACAAGAAATCAAGGCTCTGTTTAATGCTGCAAGCAGCAAAGAATTACAGAGATCAATATGGTAGTTTGTCAAAGATGTTCTCCAAGGAGACTTCCCTATCACCATATGGACAAGAAGTCACACTGACCGTAGCTATTGAAAAACAGGTAAGCAGAGTCAGCAGTACAAATTATCAGAAATCAAACAGGTCAGTGTGAAAAGAAGTACAACTCTACCGAAAAGCTGCATTTATAGTCTGGTAATTAAAAACCATTTTATCAGCCCCTTGTGTCGGGACCAAACCTTTACAGCAAGTATTGACAAGATCAGCAGCAATGAATGAGCAGTATTTGACTTAAAACTTATGAGCTATAGTTATTTAACTTTGTCCATTACAGAGGAAATCAGTTCTAGCTTTCCTTGCAAAATGCTAATAGTCAGTTTTATTATTAATGAAGCTTAATGTAACACTATCTCCTTTGTATAAGCCATTCGTTTAACTGGTGTCAAGTATGTTCTTCTGGACTAAATATATCAGCATAAGTACTTCTTTGATTAAAGTGTTATTTAGAATTGCTTTTAGACAAGTGAATACTACATATATTTGAAGAATAGTTTACTCTCTGTAGCACATTTTAAATGACTACTTTTGTGGAAGCCAGTTTGTATTAGTTCATTATTTTAGCGCTTTCACCTCCATTGCTTCTGCTTTCTCTACTGACTTGCCAGGAGTAAGAATTCAGTGTTGGTTATATTCAATTTTATAAAATGTCTTCCTACAAAAATGTAGGAATGTAGCAGAGTATCAGCAACACATTAACATAAAATGATATATAATGTATGTTTGTAATTATAGGAGAGATCATAAATCTTAAACACCCATTGGTTTAGAAATTAAATAGTTCTACTTAGTTCTCCCTAAATTACTCCAAATTTCTGAAATTTACCATTCGCCTGGGTATTTTGTGACTATCCCCAAGGATAAATTTTTTAAATGACTTTGCTTTCAAAAATGCAATTAACTTAATAAAATTCCAATGCAAAAGTGCCATCAAGTCTTTAAAATTTCGGCCCACTTCCCATTGCCAATAAGGCTATGGATATGTACCATTTCAGTTAATTGCTTTTATAAACAGTTGCCAAATTTATTTTTCTGGGTCTTTCTAGAACTTAATTGTTGCTATAGCTTTATTGGGATGCTATTTTAACTTTTAGTAAGTCTTAATTTCATTCACCTTGATGCATTTATATTAACTAGAGTTGTTATTACATTTAAAAATACTATGGCATTAGCTTCTCTAAACAAGAAGTTCCAGCATTTTTTCCCAACCCTCTCCTACAGATAAATGGCACAAGAGGTTTATAACATCTCCATGCAAAATCCTGGCAGCTGAATGATTTAGATTTCACACTGCAATTAGATTCTCATCAATTTTTGGATTTGTCAATGATATTATCTCCACCATATACCCTAACGTCCTCTACTTTTCCCACAGACATTATATAAAAGATTTCCCCCCTCTTTTCTATGTGCCTCTATATTTTTTATTTAGAGCCAATTTAAATTGCTAACACCCAACTACAGAATCTATATACATAATAATCATTTTTTGTCTGTAGTTCAACCTCGTCCTAGGGAAACACTGGTGGGAAGCTTCATGTGTTTCTAGTTGCCATTAGTGAAACAGAGAATGTGCTATATAACAACGTCTGAAAAGCTTTGCCTCTTGAGGGCAATGATTCATCTTAAAGAAGTAGACAGCAGAGAAAGAAAAAAGTGTTTGCAAAAGTTTTATTTTAAAGGATCAAAAATAAATATTGCACATACACACAAGAGAAAGTCCACTGATACTGTATCTGTATTCTCTAAAGCACACTTTCAATACATGGCACCTTCATCTTCTTTATTTAGAAAATAAATTGTTATTGGTCCATAACTGGTATGCACAGTCTCTGTGACTCTGGCGAATAACCAGGAGCCAAGTCCATATAATAAAGTTGGAATACCTAGAAAACAAATGGATATGTTATTTGTGAGCATCAGTACTTATTAATCATGTGCCCATGTATTTGTCATGCTCCTAATCATGTAACAATCTTCTGCAGTGTTGACAAGTTATAACAATATAGAAATACAACAATATTGATAATGATTGTTTAAGAACAATTACTCATATATGGGCCTGGAAATTTTTTAAACTATCTAGATGAGGCTGATATAAATATTAATTCAAAGCACTTTCCCAATTCATTTTCTTGAAGTAATTATGAAGTAATTCTTTTCACAGATAAGCAACTGGAAAGGAATATTCATTAATTTAGTTGTAAACACTCCTGATTATTAGCCTTAAGCTAGAATTACTAGGTCAACTTTATTGTCCTTTCAGTTAGATAGCAATACTGATGGATAAAGTAATTTTTGTACAATTTAAAAAGAAATTGGGTCAAATAGCTGTCTTCAAAACTAAAACAAAACCTTATTCCAAGGAGGAGTTTAGTGTAACAGGCATAAAAAAGCAATGTATTTTCTTTCTGATACTAATATATTTGTATTTTCACAAATGAACTAAAGGCTACCTTATTTCAACCTATTTGGGATAAGTATTAGTAGACTCTAACACATAGCTTTGGCAAACTTGATATTCATTGCCCCTTGTCATACATGAAACCAAACACAATACCACCAAGAGATATGGATTAAGCACTCATATGTACATGATTCTATGGTGGACACAAAACAAACTTTCATAATTCCTATCTTTTTAAGGCACTTATTTATAATCAATGACTATTAACACACAAAAAACATGCATAAAACCACAGATGCATGAGTTAATAACAAATATTGTATACTCTACGTAAGTATTAATTTTATTGCTCCCATGTGGGAAAAGGCAGAGAATTTAAAAGGATAGCTGCACATCTGGAAAATCACTTTCATTCTAGTTAACAGGGAAATCAACACATGTTTAGGGCCGATCACGTCACTAAGTTTTTGTCTTATTTTTCTGAACAATGTATTCACTGTGTCATGCTCTTTCGGAGTGTGTTAAGCGTGTTGGACCAGTTTGTGCTTATTCTCCCTGAAGCAGTATGCTAGGCACTGTGATGCCACAGATTCACCCAGAGAAGCATCAGTAGCTGACAGGAAGAAGAGGAGGAGGAGGAGGAGGGAAAAGACACTCAGGCTGCCACTTTTTTTTATTTTTAGGAATGTACTGGTCACAGTTTATTATCTCAGGGTTCCCTAGAACTCCTATGATCCCTTTATAGTATTTTTGCCTTCTCTGCTCTGCACTGCCCAAAAGAATCTCTAAATACCTCAAGGCAATGTCGCAAAAAAATGCACAAAAACTGGGATAATAAAGTTACTTATGAATCATTTATTCAAAAAATAAAAAGGCAGGGGGTGTGGGTGGGTGGTGGAGAAGAGAAGCACATACACAAGATAGGCAAAAGTGAGGAAGGAGTATGGGGAACAGATGAAATAAAAATAAAAATGCCGTATCAAACGAAATGCCATATCACATTTCCAAAAAATGAAAATCAATGGGGTGAGGAAGAGAAAAATAGGCTCTAGAAGCAATTATTAATTTTCTAAATATACTGAGAGTGAAATATATAAAAGGTCCCTTTGAAACCAAAACCAAGTAAATAAATTTAAGGAATGGCTGGTGACAATGAGAATTTTGTATGTTTTATAGTATTTATCACTCGAGACCATACTCATAAGTGAAATAAACCAGATGCACATGTATAACATTTACCACAGTTTTCAATTAAAATATTGCCACTTTAAGAAATTCATACTTGTGAAAATCACACAAACAGCTAATGTTTTTCAACTAAAATGTAGACTGATTGAAGATTACCAGTTTAATAATAACTATAAAATCTCTTATTAACAACTAAGAACAATTTCAGTAACGCTGTTTGACAGGAAATAGTTTTGATATGGGAGTCAGAAATTCAATTTTTTTCCTACGATATATTTATGCAATGCAGTCAGACTAGGATAACCAAGTGGGAAGATGTGCCACTTTATGTAAAAGTATTCTTTGTTTATATGTAGAACATATGCTTTAAAGTCTTTAAGAATCCATGAAAAATTAAAAGTTTCCCAGACTGTCTGAAACATAACATCAAAATGAACTTGAATATAAGTTCTTTACATAATATATCATTTTGAACCAGCTAAACAGTAGGTAAACCACTGTCAAATTAAGCACTTAAAAAAAATTAGAACTTTGTAGTAAGTCTCTGATTACCCACTCATTTCAACGGTAAGTTGCTCTTCTTAAATCTCAATCTACTTCCCAGCAGGATACTCAGACTGATAAACCATCAGTAAAATATCAGCTCCCATTGAAGGGAGCTGATGAAAGCAAAGGAGAAAAGGAAAAATGGGTAAACAGAAATCTTTATTATTTACAAAATGGAAAAATGAATTACTCTCATAACTACTAATTTGAAAGGGAAGAAGAATAAAATCTTTACTGTTCTTATTAATAGAACATGTACTTGATGGTCCAAAGGAGCAATTTACATCACAGAATGCAAAAGGATGCTATTATCAATTTCATATTCCTTTCCATCAGGAAAAAATAAAAAATAAACCTTACCAAGTTAGTGAATATACTAGCCTTTAAAAAGCTCAGGAAAAAAAATTCCCTTTAGCAGTGTAAGATAATTTGTATTAAAGCATACACAAGCAAAAAGTTTTCTCTTTGCTTAACTTAAAACTCCTATTTTCATTTAAGTAAGATTTTTGGAATTTCCAAAAGACTATACAGATCATTACTCAGTCTTCCACGTAAAAAACAACTGGGCATGGAATTATTTCTTTTCTCAAGAGGTCTTACTTTTTTTTCTATGTGGAAAATGTTCTGAGTATCCTACTTTTGGGGGATGTCTTAACATCTGTATTTAGGAGAAATCTCTAACTATTAAACTGATCTTAAACAAAACGTTAAGTTCTAAATTGTGACTTTTTTTTATTTAAAAAAAGGTATTTCAGTGAATATGGTTTACGTACAACTGCCCATTACACTTTTCCTCCTAATCTATTACTGTACATTTGGGAAAGAATGATTTCTTCTGATTCTGAAAGTGCTAACATAAATTCATTCTTCTGCAGTTCAGCCATCACTTCAGTCTTTCCAAATAATTTTGAATTGAGTTTTTGAAATCACCTCACTTTTCTACTTCATAGAAACCTCAAAACTGATGGCCTTACTCTGTGCAGTCCATCAGCTAAATAGTCAGGCCTATTTTAAAAGGATCACACATTGCTAAATAATCTTGTCCTTTCTGGAATGAGCCCAGGACAGTCCCAGTGGGAAGCAGGGTTCAAAAACCCCTAAGCGACATACGTGAGTTATTATAAGCAAAAATACATGTGCCGTATTTAACGGGTTATCAGGTCACATAATACTAGTATAGCTGCACACGATTTAGTGTTAACGCTGGCTTTAAAACGCTGGTTGGATAATATGGTTCAGCTCTGATCTCTAGATCGTGAATTACTGAAATCTAGATTTTTCTTTAAGCTATTAATAGGTCCAAAACATCTTGAGGCCTTATTCTCTGACCTATAAAAAAAGTCATGCCCACGTTCCCGTCTCTTCTGTCACGCAGCCAAAAGAAAATAAACCTTCCGAGAGTACTCCTGAGGATTAGAATATTTCCAGGAAAACACCTACATGTTAACGGGGGAGATTCTTTTGAAATACTTCGTAGGCCTAGCACCCAAGGAAGCTAGTATGTCTGGTTGAAAATCTTTAGTGCTTTTTAGTAAAACAAATTTGTGGCGATTTCACATAAAGAAAACAAAGAAACCTAAAAAGTAGTTTCCGTTTTGGCCGTGTCAAGGAAGTCACACTGTGATGCTCCCGGGGAAGAATCCTGCTATGTGCCCTAAGACATTCGTGACTTGAGCCACTTTCGGGGTATGGGGACGCCTCCTGCCACCCTCCCGGCTGCCCAGCGCGCGGGGAGGGGGGTGGTCTTGCCTGGGAACAGGAAGGAGGGTGGCCTGTCCTCTCCCCAGGGGTGATGGTTGGGGGAAGTCCTGGGGACACGTCCACTTTGGGGGAGATCAGCAGCTGGACAAGCTACTCCTGGGGAGACACAATGGACCCGAGCCACCGGCCAGCCCGGGGTGGCCCGGGCAGCGGCGCGGACCCCGCGGGGTACTCCAGCGTCCCTGCGCCCCGGCCCCGGCCTCCATGAGCCCGGGCGTGGGCGCGATCGTTTGTCAGTGCTTGTGGACAGTGGGGCGCCCTCGGCGGGGCGCGCGTCGCCGCGTCGGGCCCGCGGCCGCCCCACTCACCGAAGTTGACGACCTTGAGCGCCGTGAAGAAGCGGTTCTGCGCGGCCAGGTCCTGCCAGGGCGCCCTGGAGCAGTGGTACTTGATGAAGGGGAAGCAGCCGGTGCGCAGGACGTGGTAGTTGGCGCCCTGCACCGGCCAGTTGAAGTGCGAGAGGCCGAACTGGTCGTTGCGGACGGCGCGGTAGGGCACGCAGAAGGACGTCCAGTGCGGCAGGCGCCGCTGCTCCAGGTGCCGCGTCAGCACCTCCGAGGCGCGGGGCTTGGCGCGGGAGGCGGCGCCCGAGGCCCGGGGACCCCACAGCAGCAGGCGCAGCACCGCCTCGTGGGCCCTCCGCACGGCCTCCATGGACCGGCACGCCGAGCGGACCGGGCCCGTGCCCGCGGCCGCCTCGGGGACGCGCGCCACGAGGAGGCGGGGCCTCCGGAGCGCGCGTGCGCGTGTCCCATCCATTCCCCGCGGCGAGCGACGGGAACGCCCAGCGGGCGGCGCGCGGGTGCGCGGGAGACCCCGGGGCGCTGTGGCGCGTGCGCACTGAGGACCTCTCAGCGTCGTGCTGAGTGGGGGTGGGGCAGGGGCGGCGGGTGCCTGGCGTGAGGGGCACCTGCGCGGATAGTTAGGTTGTTACCTGGGACTTCAGGTAACTTTTAGTAACGTGGGGCTGGGGAGGAATTCATGGAGGGTTTTGTTTTGTTTTTGTTTTTGTTAAAATAAAAGGAAAACATTAACAGACAACCTTTTACAAAATAGCAAAAGAACAGTACAGACAATACAGAGTTACAAAGTGGTAAGAAATTAACAATGCTTGTTGTATTACGTATTGATATCTTCAAAGTGGTTTCTCATGAAAACAGAGACGTGCAATATTGATCAACCAAGGACTCATTGACAGTTTCTTTCAGCAAAGAAATAGAAGACAGTAGATCAACTATGTTAACTATCTTGTATATACATACATACAAAATTTCTCCTTCTTTCCCTTCTCTTTCCCCACATCCCAGTTGCCTTTTATCCTTGAGCGTTTTCCTATCATTTCACAATGTCTATCATACCTTCTAGTTTAAATTAACTCTTTCAGGTTTTACACGTGAAACAATGCGGCGCTTGCACATGCAGGTCTGATTTATTTCACTTATGAGTATGGTCTCTAGTTGTGACCATTTACCTATAAAGTCCTCGAGTTTATCTTTCTTTATAGCTGAGTAATATTCCATTATATAAAAATACCACAATTTTCTTATCCACTCCTCGGTGGATGGACATTTGGGTTGCTTCCACAATTTAGCAGTTACAAGTTGTGCTGCTATGAACATAAGTGCATATATATCGCTGTGATATGATGTATTTAGGTCTTCTGGGAAAATACCCAGAAGGGGAGTACCTGGGTTGAATGCTTTGGATATGAGAAAATTAGGGAGTAAAGCAAATAGCGTAAACGCTCTAGGGAGTGACAACTGAAACTCAGGTCACCCTCCCGCCCTGGGCTCCACTGAAATCCTCTTTGACGTTGGTGCAAGACCTCAGATTTATATGGGCTGGTGAACGTCAGAGAGCACTTTTTTGGGAGCGGGTACTGGGAGCTTGAACCCAGAGCCTTTTGACTGAGCTATAGTCCCAGCTCTTTTTAAATTAAAAACAAAACAAAAAACCCTTAGGATCTTGCTGAAGCTCCAAGTTGCCCAGGCAGGGCTCAAACTTGCAATCTTTGTCCCTCAGCCTCCTTAGAGTCCTGGGGGTGTTTTTTGTGTTTATGCCTTTGCTGTCTTGTTCACTTTCCAAAAAGAAAATCTAGGCATGCAAAACCCACTGACATTTGCCAAATCTTGAGGGGCCTTTTATTCATGCCAGTAATTTGAACTCTACCTTATAGGATTTCCTATTAGATAAAAGTTTTAAAAAGATTCTAAGTGGAGACATGAGGTGTTTATCACTGCGATAGCTGAAAGAATGGCTGAAGGGAGGCAGGGAGGTGCTGCACTATTGTGATTTTCAAATGAAATTCTAAAAGACATTGAGCTAGGTGTGGTGATGCATGCCTGTAATCCCAGCACTTGGAAGGCTGAGGCAGGAGGATCGCCATGAGTTTGAGGTCAGACTGGGCTACAGAGTGAGTTCAAGGCCAGCCTGAACTACATAGCCACACCCTGTCTCAAAACAAAAAAACAAAAAACAAAACAAAAAACCAAGCATTAAGTCCCTTTTCAAATAAAATCTTTTTATATAGATTAAAACTTGTGTTTTATTACTAAACATTTTAAGTTCAAATTTTAGATTTTAACTTCATATATAAATAAAAAGCAAAAAAGAATATAACCAGGCGTGGTGGTTCACAACTATAATCTCATCAGTCTGGGAGGGCAGTGCAGGAAGATCATGTTTGCCCAGCCTGTGCCACTTAGCAAGACCCTGTCTCAAAAAACAAAAAACAAAAAACAAACAAACAAAAAACTAAAAAGGGCTGAGGATATAGCTTAATGAAAGGCCTTAGGTTTAATCCCGAGCACTTCCAAAGAAAAAAATGCTGGTTTGTTCTTCTCTTAGGTTTTGTTTTGAGCAGAAAGAGGGTTTATTGGAAAGATACTGGATGGTAAAATAATACATATTAAGTCTACAGAACCAAGCTCAGAGAATGGGAAGAAATCAGAAAGTCTGGATGGTAAAGACATAGATAATACCACCAGGAACTAGTCTACTGAGGATGCGAGGGATAGCAAGACTCCCAGCTCTGTTGTTCTGAGCTTGCAAAATGTTGAACTTGGTTGTAGACTACAGTTGCAATTGTAGCCTCCTCATCCAGTTTATTTCTTCTGGCGTCTTTTGTTTCGTACTATTAAGAAAGTCCGCATCCCTCTGGAGTAGAGTCAAGTTAAGAGTACGTAGTTTTAAAGGATTCACCTTGAAATCTGGGCATGTGTTTTAATCACAAAGCTGGCAACAAGAGATTATGAGGGCCACACTAAACTAATTTAACCTCAGATTAACTTGTGGGTGTTTCACAATACGTTAAATGTTGGCATTATATCCCTTTTGATGATATAAAGTCTACTTTTAAAATGAGACTTGAATTAAACATAGAGAACCCCTGTAGTGCAGTATGTCTGAGAAACTCTAGGTGTATGAAATACAAACCACTGACACAGGGCCTGGGAGTGTAGTTCAGTAGTAGAGTGCTTCAGTAACAAATACAGGGCCCTGGGTTTGAAAATGAAATTCACCTTGCACATGAGTCCTAATTATAGGTCCAGCTTCACAAAGTGAGCCTTATTTTACCAACAGATACATTTTTGAAAAGCCTGTGACATTTTTATAATATGAATCACATTTTCAAACCAAATTCTAGAGATGTTTTGGCTCCAGTGCTGATCTTCAACCGACAATGACTCTGAGCCCTTTAGCTTTAAGGGTCTCTGCCCACTCTGGGTCTCACTGTCAAGTAGTTAATGATCTATAAACAAATACTGAGATGCCCTAAGGGTGCTCTCCATTTAAAGGGGCCTTGAATCATTTTATAATGGAAATACAGTAGTCCACCCACTGATTTATGATTTGTCAGTTAAGGTTTTGTTTTGTTTTGTTTTGTTTTCCCATACCAGGAATCGAACTCACGACCTCGTGCTTGCCAGGCAGGCGCTGTGCCGCTGAGCTAAATGCCCAGCACCCCAGTTTGGGTTTTTGTTTTTTTTTTCTTTTTTTTTTTTTTTTTGGTTTTTTAGTTTTTCTCTGGTACCGGGAACCGAACTCACGACCTTGCGCTTGCCAGGCAGGCGCTTTTGCCGCTGAGCTAAATCCCCAGCCCCCCAGTTTAGGTTTTTGAAGTGAGATTCTACTGGAACTTTCAGATGGGACCGTTTTTAATTTACTGTGTAATACCACTAATTTTTTTCCAGTTTTTCCCTACTTGGGAAAACTTTCAAAAATGTTCATTTGTATTAACAATGCAATTTTTTTTGTATGGAATAGCATTTTATTTATATATACATAAGTGTACACATTTCAATTTTCTTAAGCTCAACGTGATCACAGAGGGTAATAATATCAAATAATGGTATTGACTGGTTACTGTTTTTTGTGTTCTAGGCAGTTTATACTCCTTACACTCCGAAGTTTGTTTGTTTTAATATTCAAGCTGAGGAAGTAGTGTCAGACCTTATGGAGGGTTATGTTGTCAGCAGTCACAGAGCAGGCAGGTCGTGGAGCTGGGATTTGAACCCACATTGGCAGGACTAAAAAAACCCATGGTTTGACCACAGTTTGAAAGAATCAGGTGATGCCAGACTCAGATGTAAATATAGTTGATGCAGTTTAATGTCCCTTACTGTTGTAGAATCAGTCAGGACATAGGAAATAGTATTCTAGACCCAAAATATAGTCTATCTAGCCCATAAGTTTGTCTAGCTGAAAGGAAATTTAGGGGATACATGATGACTAAGAAATCAAAAGAATGATTTTTTTCAAAAACTAGGTTACTTGCAAAATATGATGTGAAGCAACTATTTCTATTTCTATATGTATTGAAAAGTACTTTTAAAATATGTTTACGATGAGAGTTTTGTGCTAAGGAGTACGGACTATGGTTGATGGGGTCCAGGACACGGGTTCCTAGGTTTGTGTGCAACAAACAAAGAATTTATGTTAACACCAGGAATAAAGATCCCAAATCTAAGCAAGTTATCAAGCCTTGAAGTTTAGGTTTTATTTGGGGACCTTGACTAAAGAGGATACAGTGATGTGTTGGGCTGCTTTCATAGCTATTTTTATAAGCCTAGATTTTATTCAGACAAATGTTTAGTTTTTAAAAGTTGAGTCTTCATGGAGAGAGCGGCTGGCCATACTCTGGATGGCTATGAATAATACTGCTGCTGTGGATAATATGCACATTAGTCCAAGCCAACATTCCACTGAACCACGACTTGTGGTTTAGCTCTTTCTTTTTGTTCCTATGGCTGTTTCTAATAAAGCAAGATGTTAAAGCTAACTACATGCTCTATTAATTATATGAAGGTGAACTTGAGTCATATTTGTTACTGTAGATGATTAATAATTACCCGTTCTGCACACATTTCTGGTGCATTTCAGTAAATAAACAGGGTACATTGTTGGGTAGTAATTGATTAATTAGTACATTCATCCTACACAGCTCAGTGGTCTAAGGATGCTGAGTTTGAGATATTGCTCATAATTATTACAAGAAACAAATCTGTTCCATTTCTTAGTTTATTCTTCTGTACACTAAGGGCTTTTTTACTAAATCGAATGCTTAATGGTTCAAAACCTTATAGGTTTTATTCAGATAAATCAACTCATGAAAAATTGCTAGTCATAATCCCAGAATCTTGTTTTTGTGTGAACTAGGGTGAAAACTTTTACAAGGCTAATTTTAACATTCGATCTTGCTGTTAAACTGGATCAAATACTGTAAATATAGGGCACTTCCCCG